CAACAAGCAAAAAACTGCAGATAATATTCAATTTCCAAAAACACCAATCATAAAGTCTAAAGTTGTGAATTTTAGCTGGTATTTAATCTAACGCTTAACACTTAGGGGGTGGGGGGGATAGAGCCTATCCCAGCTGTCAGAAGCAGGATATGCCCTGGATAGATCACCAATCTGTTGCAGGGTTAACACAGACAACCACTCACACTCACACCAGTTAACCGATCCCTATGCATGTCTTTAGACTGTGGAAGAACATGCAAACTCCACACAGAAAGACAACCTGCTGGCTTCAAACCTTGCTGTGACATAACACTACCAGCCACCACTCCACTGCACTGCCTACTCTGTAACATATTACAAACATTTAATATAAATCTGCACTTCTGTTGTGATGCTGAATCTCTAGCATTAGAAAGAGCAAATATACTTGTCGACTGAATATGATTTGCCTTCTCCCGATGGATTATTATGGCATCAGTAAAGACCACCAGGGGGGCTGATAATGACCCAGCTCTGCAGCCCAAACAAAACATGAAACAGGAAACAGGCCAGTCAGCCTTGTATCATAACAGTCTGAGGCAAATGCTAGTTCTCTTAACAACAAGAATACTCATAAGACAGGTTTTTACAACTTCCATCACATATTAGTATAGTGGACACACAAGAGTCAGATCAGTGGGTCAGGGTTTTCTTTCCATGGTTCCTTTCAACTGCACTCTTTATTGTGCCCTGCAGCATGGTGCAACTAAATAGCTTGCTGCACAGGAAGCGCCTACGTTGCTAAATATAAGGGTGGATTAACATCTGATATTGACTACATGGCCTTGTAATTCCAATTGATCACTATCAGATGCAAATATGCAGGCAAACATGAACCTGAACCACTGATTACTTTATTTTTTTCAATTAATTTTACCCAAAAATTCAGAAAATTATCATGGGTAATATTTAACTGAAAGGTTACCAACACAATGAGCCAACCAACACAAAATTTCAGGATGGATAACACCGCTGATAGATGCCTAAGAAACATGCACGCACAAACACACTAAATCTTCTATGGGATTACCAAGACCTACTCATGTAAAGGTAAGCCCTGGCTATTTGTAGTACCAGCAGGATGATGATGACAACTTTCCAAGAGAGTCTCCTGCTCTAAGTGGACCATTTTGTCTTACACAGAAAAAATAAACATCAACAAATTTAATCATTCTCACATCCACTATTTTTAATAATTATATACTGCTCATATCCTATTGTGTTGTGTTATTTTTCAGTCCTATAGGGTTAAGCTAAAAAAAAGCAGAAAATATAAATATATACATAAATATTATACATTCTCTAGATTTCTAATTAAACCCCAAGAAACATAGCCAAGTCGACCACTCTTTAAACTATACAGTTTATAAGACTTATTGAACCAAAACATTCTTGGTGCCAAAAGTGTGGAACTAATGTTCATGACTATTTGAGGAGTGACTATTGATGTGCAGACATTGAAAGCAAAGAGCATGTGTTAGCTTTTTGAAGTCTATACATTTTGTTATCTTTCTCCTTTGATAAGCAAAAATATGTTTATTATTAGATAAATTAATCCATGACTTTTTGTAATTTTTCTGTGGTGCCACAGAAAAAGAGCCACAAAAAAACACAGCCAAAATCCCTGAATATCTGACATTTACTTGTTGTGTAACATCTCTTGAACCCTTTATTCATGCATTTGGTCTTTGTTGCTGTGTGTAGGTCGAGAACCATGTTGAAATAAGCTCTGACATGTTGCCCAAAGACACAAAAACTTTCTATTCAAAGACTTTCAAGAGGGGACAATTTGGAAATTTGTCCGTAAGCTATCCCAGCTCACCAAAGCTGGTAGAGAATCTGTCTTTGTGGAGATGGAAATATTAGCGTTAGATAATGTAAAATGAAGTACCAACAATGTATAAACATACAAACTAACGCCTCATGAACTAAACTACTCTGGGGTTAGTCTAAGGTTAGTTATAGTCTATACAAATTAGCATGTTTTGCTATTCAAATCATTTGGTACGTGCATACATGAGTGTGGAAAATGTAACACATCCTCTCAGTCATTTTAAGAGGTAAAAATCAAAAGATGGGGCATTTCTGCTACACAACCAGAGTTAAGTGTACAGATCCAAGAAGCTACACATCAAAATTGAGGGTGGTTCATTTCCTCCTTTGGTTAAATCTAACCCAGTTCAGAAATACTTCTCATGCTTTTAATTCTGCTGCAGCATGTGTTAAGCCAGGATCCGGACAACCTTGCAGCGTTACTTGCAGCAGTGTGATCTCGCTTCATAATAGCAGGGTACTTTTCTCCTTTCTCACATTCTTGTGGAAATGACCATGTACATGAGCTAGATTCCTAGCATTATTTTATTATTGCCAGTCCTCCACTTTGACTGAAGGCTGAAGGACTTTTGCTGAAGACATGTTTTAACTCCTCATAAAGCCTAGGACACAAACGCATACCTCTAAACTTGGTAGAAATATTCATTAAAAGAAAAGAAAAACCCCAAAAAAAACAAAAAACCCACCACAGAACTGAGGGCCAGACTGAAAACACTGAATGGAAAAATGAAAGAAAACAGGAAGAAGAACGGCACTAAAATGTGATCCATTTGTTGCCAGGAGTAAAGCATGCCTACACCCAATCTGGGTATGTAGAAAAACCCCTTTTACGCTAAAACAGTTTTTTAAAAAAGAAAACAGGAAAAAAAAAAGGCTTGACTGCTCAGCCAGCCATAACAAACCATGCATTGATACAGGCAGATACAAACACAGTAAACATCCACGTCCAAATCTGGATGGGCCCACTGATAGACTTCAGCTTGTACATAGTGCAGTCTCCAAAAGGCCAATGTGCATTTTGCTTAACAGAACAGTGGGCGACACATGGCTGCTGGTCCAACCAAAACTATGGTATCAGTGCATCTAAGCATTTAAGCAAAAACAGCTACACCGTCCTGAGAGAGCTCAGGGCTCAGCGTTTGACAGTTTGACAGTGCAGCTTTATCTGAAATTCAGGTCAGACATTGTTATAGTTGCCCTCCCTGGAGCGCTAAGGGGGTTATGCCATATGTCAGCAAATAAGCATGAATGTGGGACAATGAATGTGGGAGAGGGAAGAGATCACTTAACATAAGATAAGATGAGTTTCAAGCAGGAAGCTACAAAACTGCTGATACACTATGAACCGCCTGATCCACGGGTGGAGAAAATAAATCGCCTGCTGGTTTCTGTACTGGGCATCAAATCAGCTCACCGCTATTACAAAAAATGCATGACCCGATCAGAAAAAGCTTCCTGACAAAGATCAACAGACGACCACGTTTGACAGGATTCTCGGAGCGAATAGCAACGACATCCAAACCAGTACTATTTTTACCAGTTACACAGAAGCTAGCTTAGTTTGCAAAGAATTTAGAGCACGCCTATCTACTCCGATATACTCACATAAAACCACTTTCCTGTACAACGTTATTAATTTGCGTGAAAGGTGACAATGCAGAAGTAGTGGCATTTCAACCGGGTCTCAGGCTGCAGGACGTATAGTTGCAGCTTTAGCTGAACGTTAACTGCACGCATTTAACTTACAGCGAGTTAGAACAGTCCATTTGCTTCCCTTAAAAGTTATCAGCACAACCATCAGCTAACAAAATCAACCAAACGTGTAACTTTTAATGTGGGAAGAAGTTGCAGATATTTTCCGCGTCCATACTCGGCTCATAACCGGGCAGCGAGCTAACGTTACTAGCTAGAAAAGCTGACCGGTCAAACAACCCGGTCAGAGGCGGCAGTTGACTGCAAATGTTAGAAAGTGAGTGCAACAACTTAAGACACAAGTAGTTCACAAATAGACACAACTGCCAACATATTTCTTACCCATTTGGGCTCTCAAGCCCTTGAGAGTCGAAGCACCCTCCGCCATTTCTATGAAGTTTTCCTTCTGTGTGTTTTTTTTTTCTAAAGCAAGGGCGCGTAACCCATCGCAGCCGGTAGAACTCGGACACCACGGGGACGTGGACATCAAAGATAGGGCGAACAAATCAGGATGTCTCACTTTGAACAGTGTCGTAACAAAAAGTGACTTCCGATGTAGTCAGCGATATGCAAGTATCTTTACCACTCTACGTTATTGTACCTACAAGATAATGAATCTAGTCCTGTTGTCCACTTTGAATATCGTTATGGACCCTATAATATGTTTGTTTTAACTCCAACTGCCCTCTTGGCCAAAAAAACCAAACTTTTTTTTTTAATGTCAATGACCCAGTTTTAATTTTTTAATGTCAATGAAACATTTTAGTGTCAGTGAGACGTTTTACCTGGATAAATGAAGGATATATAAAACTCACTTTGCCAAAAAACTGATTACAGGTTCTACCCTGAGACAGGATTGTTGCTTGTGGTTCAGAATAACTTGATATAATTCATGACAGATATTTTGGACATATCTTTCAGAGATTATAGGCCAACACCTCATTTACAACCGTTTAAATACATACTCTAATGAATAATATCAAGTCGGTTTGAGTCAGAAACAACATTTCTGTTGCAAGATAAAAGCTGAAGTATACAGGTAAAAAGTCGCATTGAAGATAAAAATGTATTTTTTTTTAAGACAAATCCAGAGGACATCAGAGACTGCAACACACATCTTATCTTATCTTATCTTATCTTATCTTATCTTATCTTATCTTATATAACATCACAGTTCTATCCAGATCATTGAAATGGGGCAAACTGTTTACCAAACAAAGCTATTAGACGTATAAAGATAATTAAAATCACTTGTTGGCACAACAGAACCAACAAAAGAAGAAGGGACACGATATTAAAAATGCTCTGGTAAGGACAACCAATGAGATTGCACGGTAACTTTATAACGTTGATGGTTTTAGAGTTTATTTTCAAAAATAATTACTTAGTGCCTCATCTTTTCACCAGACGATCGTGGTGTGGAGGCGGGGGCTGTGGGGCGCCAATACTTACTGATTACGTTTCCAATTACAGATGCGAGGAAGCCACCTAGCGTTCATATGGGTACTTGCTGCATGCTGATAAATGTAAAGTTTATCCACAAGAGCTGGTGAGAATTCCAAGGTATTCAGGTATTAGGTTTTAGAGGCAATAACTAAAATAGCGACCAATTGAATGAAAGAGAAAAAGGCCCGGTTAAGCATAGTTTGTTAATGATGTATAATATTTTATCCAGGTTTGGGAGTTTCTTGTTGTTTTCAGATTAGAAAAAAAATACTTCAAACTTGATTGAAGTTGTGTTTACCATTTGCTTTTGAGATGGATTTGGAGAGTAGTGATGGAAAAGATTGAATACTCACCCAAACTAATGCTCCGAAGACTCTGAAGATCTAGAGATCTGGGAAGCTGGTAAGTTGGCAAACTTCTACCAGTGAGCGAATAACACAATTTCTCAAGGCTCTCAGATCTTTCACTTACCGTGAACACTGCATCCTCTGTCCTGGTCTGTCTCACATGCTTTAGCCAGAGGGCTGCTCATCATCTTACATGGTAAACAGGAAATAACACAGCACGTAGGGTGCCTTTGCAGTGACCTGGATATCTAACACTCAACGGAGAAATAAATACTTTTCTCACTGCGTTGTTACAGTACATGATCTATTAAATATATATATTCGACTGAAGACGAGAACCTCAGAAAAGTCAGTAATCTGGTATGATTTTATTCCCATTAATACACCAATGCATCATTTCACTCGTAGAAAGTCTCTACAACATTTGCCACCCTCTGGATCTTTAAGACATTATTGTTTTACCACAGCTCTGTGTATCCTCTTGACAACTTCAGAATTAGGCAAGAGTGCAGCAGCCTGGGCCAACTGGGGCAGCAATGTGTAGGTGGAGGTCCGCAGGTACTGAAAAAGTTCCTGGAAGCCTCGGATATGAGGGATGATCTGCGGTGGAACACCCAAAGACTGTGCCAGCCTCCTTAGAGTTTTGATGTTGTCAGCAGAGTCAAGCAGCATAGACAAGTCCTGAACTGAGTCGTAGTCGAGCATCTCAACCCTCTGTCCTGCACAACATCAGCACAGTACAAGTAAAATCAGTGGCGTACCATACTGAACTCATCCTGATAGAAAACTTTAAAAACTTTTAAAAAAGGACCCTTTTTCAAATACATATATACATCCCCCTCTTGACCCTGCAGCAGTCTTTAGCCTTCAAGCTCAGGTCCTGAGACCTGGGAGCTTGAGTGTCCTGTGCAGTATCTTTGCTGTTCCTAGGACTGTGTTCTTCTGGACAGAGATCTCAGATGTTGTTCCCTGGATGTGCTAAAGCCACTTGCCTTGCTTGGGGGTCACTGCAACAAGTGCTCCGATTACCACTGGGGCCATTGTTGCCATCACCCTCCACATCTTCTCTGGATTGTCTCAGGGGCATCTTTACACAGCCTTCATCTGGAGTCTTGCCTGGTGTGATAGACCCCAGCCTCTTTGGATCTTTAGCTGAGAGCTTGTTCCTGTGCTGCCATGATTAGTGTCTCTATGCTGTCTTTCAGTCCAGCTTTGTCCAGTTACTGGTACGATTTCTGGATGTCAGCCACTTCCTCTATCTGACGGTGGTCCCTGTCTTTCCACTATGGTTCTTCTCCTTTCTCCTCTGATTTCTCAGGTTTCTGCTGCCTGAGGTATTCACTAAGTATCCTGTTGGTTCATGTTTGTTGTCTCATCCTGGACAGTGCGTCTGACACTCACCGGTCCTCAGCAACCTTCCTTTTGCTTAGAGACAATCCAGCACATAACAGCAGGGTGCAAGATGCTAACAGGCATGGCATTCATGGAACGCCATAACGAAGTGGCCGGCATAGTGTACAGAAACATCTGTGCCGAGTATGGCCTTTAAGTCCCAAGGTCAAAATGGGACACACCCCCTTGGGTGGTCACGAATGTCCAAGCTAAGATCCCGTGGGACTTCCAGATATAGATGGAGAAACTGGTGATGGCTAACTGACCAGACACAGTAATGGTGGACAAACAGAGGAAGATGTCCACAGTAATAGATGTAGCTATACTGAATGATAGCAACATCAGGAAGAAGGAACACGAGAGGTTTAAAAAACCCTAAGAGCTGAGAGAAGAATTCAAGAAGATGTGAGGGGTGAAGTGGTAATCGGAGCACTCAGTGCAGTGACTGCTCCAGCAGATCACAGGAACAACAGGGAATTAAAAAAAAAATAAATAAAATATATAAAATATATATGTGCAGTTGTAATGGCTGGTTTGGGACGTACATACCTTCAGCGATCTCCCATATGTCCTGCAATTGTTGTTCCATCTGATAGTGACATAATAAAAGCGACAGAGTAGAAAAGAAGTAATATTAATTTATACATGTGTGAAATACATTGACATATAGCTATGTTTTATTACTGAAATGTTTTGAACGAATAAAAAAGGAGCATCAATCTGTGTTGTCATTATCAAGTAAGAAAAAAAAAATAAAGTGTTAGCCACATGTTTGTGTTTTTCTGTTTTACATCATTGTAAATTAAATCATTTGGATTGTGAGAATCTGAGTCAATATACTGAATTCAATCAAACTTTAATCTCAAAATAAACAAATCAAGTGATTAACTGACAGTGTCAGTGTCATTATACTGTGTTTCTCTTGCATATGTCATGCAGTGGTATTATACATACACAAAGCTGTGATTCTCTGTTAATGAGTCCTGATCTGCTCATTAACCTGCTATCATTACTATTTGGATATATTTTATTTTAAAAGCATTTTTTTTATCTTCTGGGAAATTGTTGGCAGTATCTTAGACTTTGGTTCCAGAAAAGAAAAAAAGTCATTTCTGGTAAGTAATTTTCTTTTTTTTTTCTTGGAAGAAGAAAGAAGTCCCCGTGGCATAAATCTCAGTAAATCAGGAAACAAAACCAAAGTTTTCTTAATGGTTAGATAACACTTTGACTATCGAAAAACTAAATGAAACGAAACTAAACTAAAAAAAAAAAAGATTTTGTACATGAAATATACATAAAATATATAACTTCCTACATTTCAAGTTCCTATAGTTTGGCATTGCTAAAGGTGGACTCTAGGTGTGATAGTGATGTAGCTATAGGTATAAACTGTACCTCCTGTGTGATGAGGCTTTGTTGTTCCTCCTGTGTAATACTGTCTGTATTCTGACTGGAAGGCTTGATGTTGGTGGTGACATTAATCACAATAGAAGTAGGATGCACCCCATTCTCATGGCTCACAGAGTACAGACCTCTAGGTTTATAATAAACAATGACAACAATGATTATATCTGGACTGATACAGATCAATGAAAGGCATGGATGTTATAATATTCACAAAGCACCTTGTTGGATTTTCAGCTGAAACTATCTGTGAGGGCGCCTCTTCTGGCTGGGTGAACAAAGGTGTGTGCTGAAGGTCGGCAGCAGATAATATTCCTTCAGGCTTGGAAGCGTATACAGCAACTTGCTCTAAAAATTGCAACAAGTGCATATGATCCCATGTTAGTTGAGTAAACAAGAGATAGGTGGGGAGAAGTAGCAGAAACCTGAAACATGATCTGGCTTACTGAATTTTTCAGCAGTCAGGTGTAAAACCCAAAGAAGCAAACCAAGAAGGAAAATCAAGGAAGCTGTTGCTGAAACAATCAGGACCACGGAAAACGCTTCTTCTTTGACTCCTTAGGGGAAAAAAAGGCAGTCAGGTCAAAGTGACTACAAGACTAATAAAAAAAGTTGTTCATGATATGAAGTAACTCACTCTTCTCTTCTGGGTCTCTGAAACGTTCTTTAGGTGAGTTGGTGGTGCTCTCTGTAAAAGAACCACAGATAACCTTTCCTTAAGCATATCTCTGAACAATCACCACTCAACAAAACTGTTAACATATACTGCTATGCTATCTGTCTCGGGACCTTACCTGCTTTAAAACCTTTCGATGTCAACAGCAAACACTCTTTATGGATTGTGTCATGACTATAACAAGGTAAGCACAGCAGCTCCACTTGCCCAGTCATGCTCCTGAGTTCATAATACCTGCACAAACAACCCAATGATATGCTTAACACAATATCTAATTTGACTTGTGTTTATTTTGGCACTGTGCGAATAATTCACCCCGGGAGGCAGTGTCCACACAGGCTGTCAATGCTAGGTGAGCATGCCGTCTCCTCACGGCGGTTCAGCAGGCTGCACTGGGTGCATGTTCTGCAGGGAGTCACACCTGTTTCTGTACTGAACTTTCTTTCTTCACATGGAATACAGACGCCTTCCCCACCATCTCCAAAACCACAGTCCTGAAAATCACATGTGTTATAGACCTGGAGTGAAGTAGCACATCTAGAAAACAAGCAGTAGCTTAAAGAGGAGTGTGTGCGCTACCTCTGAGAGCTCTTCTCCAGGCACACATGCAGGGCATGTAACACAAGTGCCGTTAGCGTGTAAGAACTCTGTCTGATCACAGATGGGCTCAGACTGCACGAGCCCACAGCAAACCTGAAGAAACACACATTTAAAATTGCGAGTAGTGAAAGAGCTGAGAGGCTTTACAAAAGTAACGGCATACTGTTAAAATACAGAAGGAAAATGTGAAGAAGTTAATATATACTGTGAGCATTTTGCACTTGTTTTTCTATAAAACCTAGCACTTTCAGGACTAAATGACTCCACAGGTCCAGATTTCCCAATAAGCAAAAGAAATGGTCTTGAGAAACAATTCTCCTTGTTTCTGGAGGACTTTTGGCAATAGGTGCTTTTCACTCATTTTGAGTCCAGCTCTTGTAGGATTTTGAGATTTTTTATAGCTTCATGGCATCTTTTGGTTTTGATCATTGTTTGTGTTTGAGTTTTGTTCATTGTTTCTCTTGAAACAATACAACAAAAGTTGTATTGTTTATATTTTTGTTGTTGCCAGTAAGTATCTGTTTGTATTTTGTCACATCCTATATCCAAGGTTTGGGTTGGGTCTCTTAAGCAGTATTTAGTCAATTCCCATTTGTGTTTCCTCTCCTAGTCTAATCTGTTTTGTCCCTCAGTGTCTCATGTGTCAAGTATTAGTATTTTTGCACCAACCAGGTGATTGCCAAAGAGCTGTTAATCAAAAACTTTGCATATCTCAGCGTGCTGTGCAAATCTGAGGGACAGGACAAATGGAGGGCAAAAACTAAGAAGAAATGACAGGCCTTAAAAACACTACCTATAGAAACAGCGTGGGATAATCTTGACAGAGAATGGAATAAAGATCAAGTACAATAAAAAGAGCTTCACCTGGAGAAGTATTCTTAAAGTCTACTAAAGGGGAATTACAAGAAAGCTTGAGAGTTCAGACTGCGCTGAAGAATAAAGCCAGTCATGCAAAACATTGACTTTTAACCTCATTAGAATTCTATAAACTCTGATTTTGGCTTATATAATAGCATATATTTCCAGTTTTCTTATCACAAAATATAGAAGGAGGATTAAAGTGTTAAAGTTGAGAAACCTCTTAAAGGAAAAATATCAGACTTACCAAGAGCAGAACAGCATAGAAACAAGCCTCAACCAGGCAAATGTCCATGATCTTCTCTGTTAAGCACCTTCCTGATACACAAAA